CTTTTTTTTTTTTTTTTTTGACGCTCCCTTTTTGTTTGCTCTGGGGGACGACGTTGTTATACAAGTAGACATAGATGCTCCACCCTCCCCAGGTAGATGAAAACTCCAACGCCGACATCACCGGTATCAGGTCTAGCCTTATTGTTGCTGGTCTGGCCGCAGGTATTCTCGCCATCAACTCTCAACCTGCCTCTTTGAAATTCAATTGGTTTCCACCTAGGGCGCCAATACACAATAAAATAACTACCAATACTGTTACTTTGAACAATGGAGATAATTGTAAATGTGACAAAAGGGCGAGCTTGTTCTTGAAAGGAAACTGAGACAAAATATTGTACATCGTGTGTGGGGGATGGACAAGGCGTAAAACAAAAGGAATTCTAAGGGTAGTCTCTATAATCCTCCCGAGCATATTACACTCGAGTCATCTATTTACCGATCTCAACACCACCAGTGGCACCGAGCATGCGCTTGATGTCACCGTAGATGGCGAACTGACCGGCAGTGATGGAGCCAACCATGAAGAGACGGGCACCAATACCACCGTAAGAGCCACGGATACCGAGCTCCTTGGCGATCTTGATCAGACGGGTGACGGTACCCTCACCAGGAGCACCCTGGGTCTTGTTGATCTTGGAGAGCATGGTGTCGGCGGGCTGGGAGATGATGGCGGCGGCGAGACCAGCGACGAGACCGGAACCGAGGTTGATACCGGTCTTGGCACCGTCGGAGAGAGTCTCCTTGTTGACGCTGGCGAGGACGGTCTCGGAGACCTTCTCGAAGACGACGAACTTGGCCATGGTGTAGGGGACCCTGTGGGAAGTCGAGTCAGTGGGAGTTGCATAGGATATATACCGAACGAGGGCAAAAAACTTACTGCTTGAACAGGATGGGTCCGAATCCGGAGTAGAAGGCACCAATTCCCTCCTCCTTCAGGATGCGGGTCATGGCAGGGAGGAGACCGCTGGCGAAGGTGGGCTGGGAGACAAGACGGATACGGGTGGCCTCGAGAGGGCACAGGGCGATATCAGCGATGAACTCAGCGGCACCGGCGGAGGCGAGGTAGACGGCGGTGCGGTTGTTCTTGGCAGTCTCGTAGCCAAGGGCGTTGATGGACTGCTGCTTGAAGAACTCGTATCCACCGAACTTGAGGGCACCCTGGAGGAAGTAACCGGCGGCGGTAGGACCGAAACCAGTCAGGAGAGCGCCAGCACCCTCGTTCTGGATGACCTGGCGGAAACCACCGAGCATACCGCGGTTGTAGGTGACGGGGTCAAGCTGGATACGGGTCTTGACGCTGGAGAGGACCGGGTATGAGCGGAAATTCTTCTTCGCGCGCTGGCGATAGTTTCAGAAACTTACACATCGAGGGGAGTGGCAGCACCGTGGGTGATGGCGCAGCACATGGCACCGGCGAAAGCGAAGCGAGAGTACTGGAAGCAAGAATCGAGTCAGCTCAAGCATTGTGGAGTTCCAGGGTTTCAAAACATACGAGGTTGAGAGCGCTCATCTCCTCCTTGGGGGCGACAGGGGCGGCCATTTTGACGGATGTGAAGTAACGTAAAGAAAAACGTTAAAGAGAAGAGAGGATGGGATGCAATTGAATAGAGGAAGAGAAGAAGAAAGGATTTGAAAGGGATGGGGCCGAACCCGAAAACTTTTCGCGGCCAATGCGGGAGCCGCTCGGCAGCCACACTAAACTCCGATCGCCCGGTCAACCGCACAGCGTTTCGTTATCCTTTTTAACATGGTCAATTGTTATACAGAGTATATTATATTGAGATAGTTATCAATTCCAATTTGAAGTTGAGGTTGGCTATTAGACGTCATTCCGGATATTGGTAGTTGAGACCCGTTGCCGGAAATAGGCGGGATGAGGAACCGCAAAAGGGATTTGATAGGTTGGTTCACATTTCAAGCTATCCGGACATGGAATATATTCAAGGGGGTTGAAATGTTGCGATAGTGTATGTTGTAATTGATTGCACTGGCTAGTATATAAACAAAATCATTGTAATATCAGACCCACGTTGGAACTGGAAGATCACCAGCCACACATCTCTCCCTACGTCACAGTGGACACGTATTGGTCTGACTGTCAAGGGGGATACATATTTGCGGCCATTGTGGCTAATATCTATACATCCTGGTATACATCCTGGTACACAACTTTGAAACTACGTTATACTTCAAATCATCGCCTAGAAGAAAATGCTTGTTCTATAATTCATGATACAATCAGCTTTTCATATTATTTGGCCTATCTAGATTATTGTTGGATACAAAGTAAGGGCTGTAACTGAAATCAACAAGTATAACAGGGTACAAAACTTCCTAAAAAGAAGGCACTTCAAAACCGCAGGTAATGATGGCCCCAATACGCTGCTGTAAGGCCCTGGCTTAGCGTGCTCCGATGAAAGTACTAAAATATTGAAGCTATGCAACCTTGGAAATCAGAACCAATGAGATCGGCAGATAAAGGCCACGAGGCCGCTATGGAATACTGAGGGTATGACCAATATTCAGTGAAGAGGCACTTAAATTCCTGGAACTTCAATCTAGAAAATCACATTCCTTTATCATATACGAAAACCTATTTCCGAACCATCTCTGAAAATGGCCATCACAGACGAAATTTCTGCCCCTCAATTTGCTATTCTGCAAGATCTATTCAGCGACAGTGTATCTGCAGAGCAAGCCGCTGAATACTTAGCCTCAATCTCGTTGGCAGATGAGTCAGATCCCGAGGGAGGAATTACCAGCCTGTGGAGCTTGATATTCAAGTGTGCCTACAAATTCCCCGACCACCATGATAAACTCGTCAACGTGCTAGTCCAGCTCTCAAAACTCCCGAACGCGGAAACATCGAATGGAGAGTCCATCTTGCTCTACGATATGCAAGTTTGGAAAGACCTCCCGATGTTTGGCTGGCAATTCCGCGATGAGTGGAATGCGAGCGTACCTGCTGGACCTCCCGACTCTCGTCAAAAGGCAATATCGCGAATTATTAACCGGGACAAATTCACCGCACGTTTGATGGCGACAAAGGAACCTGTGTTTGCATATTCCTGGTTTGCGCTTATTACCCTGCGCGATGCACTGGAAAACCCAGCAGACCAATCCTCTACGGGGAATCTGGAAGCATTGATTCCTGCTGCTGCTGCCTGGATCAGTATCCTCGGGGCGGACATCTACCAGTGGAATGAAGGATTCGATGGTGCCCTCGGGAAAGGAGGCCAGCTTTGGAAAGGTCAACATGGATTTTCTAAGGAGAGGTGGCAGTTTTGGAAGGAAAGGTTTGGAGACCTGGCTACAATAGAAGTTGAGACTGGAGATGAAGTGAGAACGACAGCAAGGGATGCGCAGCGGATGATGGAGGAGATTGAGAAGTGAGAAGTGAGACGTGGAGAATTCCATCAAGGCTTTGTGGATATAGAAGGTCTATAGAACTGTGCACTTTAAGCCATACATAGCATAAGAAATTATGAAAAGAGTCAGGTTGGCCGCAACAACGCAACGTCCCGCCTCCCACCAGCCACATCCCCACTGTGGACACGTATTTTCACTTTGTTACCATTTTTATCGCAACATCGCCAGGACTATTTTGAGGCATTTCCAACTCCCAAGGTTGAAAGGACGTTTTCATTAGTCATTTTATACCTCTCAGACTGTCTTTCTATGAATCATACTTGTAGAGCCCAGTCTTGCCCAGTCTTTTTTAGTCACTCCCTGCAAGTCGTGTGATCGGCTATATTTGTTCTTGGTTCCCACGATCCGACATGTTTGTACTATACATATAACACGGATCTTCCATGCTCTAACTTATCCATCGTAGGTCAAGATCCACGCGTCAATTATTCGTGACACTGATTCATCGCATTGACTATTTTTACAAAATTCAAGGGGGCATGGAGATGTCCTGGGGTGGTTGACATAATGTAGCTGCGCCAACCTGCACAAATAAACCTCTATGAAGAGGTGGACGAACATATGATAGGAATTTGTTAATTTAAGCATTTATCTTATCCCTCAAAACTAGAGCGTGTTTGTTTTTCTAATCCAACGAGCAGTCCTTTGAATCTTTACCAGCCAATGTATCTCGCACAGCAGGGTGTGTCAGTGTCACTCGTCAGTTCCGCCCAGCCCTGATTTTTGGAGACCATGGTATATTTGAGGATTTTACCATGCTGTTATTCTCTCTCTATAGCCCTGAGACCTGAACTGGTCCACAATCACATCAACATCACCATTTCAGCGATAGAGACACGCCTCGGTCAAATGCTGTCATTCTTAAGCTGCTGCTTGAAGATCCGGAGAAGGGCCCAGAAGTGGCGAGAAATTGAGGGTTCTCCAATCCTTTACCTTTATGCATTTCCTGCTTTGAGCTAACCATCTCGATATCGAGTAGATACTGTCGGACTTGATGAAAAGCAGTCGTGGTCTCCCCCCGAAAACACGCTCATGATGCAGGGCTTCGAATGGCATGTGCCAGCCGACCAACGACATTGGCAGCGCCTGCGCAAGGCAATCCCGGACCTAAAAGACATCGGAGTCGACAACATCTGGATTCCGCCGGGGTGTAAGGGGATGAACCCATCTGGAATTGGGTACGATATTTATGATCTGTATGATCTTGGGGAATTCGATCAGAAGGGGACCAGATCGACGAGATGGGGTCCCAAGGAAGACCTCCAGGCCTTGGTACAGAGCGCACAGGACATGAAAGTTGGGATCTACTGGGATACTGTTTTGAACCAGAAGGCTGGGGCGGATTCAACTGAGAAATTCACAGTCGTCAAAATGGACCCAGAAGGTGATTTTTCCCCCATCAACAGTGGGAAAACCAGAGTGCTTATGGATGTCAATAACCTTGCAGATCGGAACACTGAAACATCTCGACCTCTGACAATCGCCGGTTGGGTTGGGTTCGACTTTCCTGGACGTGGTGAGAAGTACAGCTCTATGAAGTATCACTGGCAACATTTTACTGGTGTGGACTGGGACGATGCGAGCCAGGAGTATGCAATTTACAAGATATTGGGACGGAACAAAGGCTGGGCGAATGATGTGAGTGATGAACACGGAAACTACGACTACTTGATGTTCGCCGATCTCGACCATTCCCATCCAGAAGTTCGAGCTGATATATTGAAATGGGGGGAGTGGATTGGTACCGAATTACCAATCAGTGGAATGCGAATCGATGCAGCAAAGCATTATTCCGCCTCTTTCCAGAAAGAATTTGTGACACATTTGCGCAATACTGTTGGCGCCGACTACTTTTTAGTTGGGGAGTACTGGAGAGGAGAGGTGGGTCTACTTCTGGAATATCTCAAATTAATGGATTATGAGGTCTCCTTGTTCGATGTGCCTCTTTTGGGCCGGTTCGCAGCTATCTCCAAGATGGCAGGCGGTGATCTACGGAAGATTTTCAAAGGCACGTTGGTGGAGCAGATGCCATCGCATGCAGTAGTAAGACCAATTATCTTGTGGAAAATGTTTGCCGCTAATATCACTTTTACCGTCAGACTTTTATTGGCAATCATGATACGGTATGCTGAAGTCTCCCTGTGTGGATTTAGTGGAGCTTACAATGCCACAGCAACCTGGACAATCATTAGAGGTGAGATACACTCAAGTTCTAGCTATTATACAGCCCTGGAGCGTGCTTGATCATTTAACATCCTGACAGACTATCATTGCACCATTTTTCAAACCTCTCGCATATTCTTTAATCCTCCTTCGAAGCCAAGGACAGCCATGCCTTTTCTACGGAGATCTCTATGGAATCAACGGTGGGCCAGAGCCCCAACCTGGGCCATCGTGCAGCGGAACCCTTCCCATACTTACGCGTGCCCGAAAGTTATATGCACATGGAGAACAACGAGACTACTTCAATAGACGAAATTGCATTGGTCAGTGTAGTTTCCTTGAATATGCGGGGGTAGTACTGATTACTGACAATTAGACAGGATTCGTGCGCTATGGGAACTATAAACACCCTTTCGGTCTTGCCTGTATCCTTAGCAATGGTGGCGCATCCTATAAGCGCATGTTTGTCGGCCACAGCCACGCTGGAGAAGTGTGGACAGATATTCTCGGCTGGCGAAATGAGACGGTACTCATCAATAACTGCGGTTATGGAGTTTTCCCCGTCGCCGCTATGAGTGTTAGTGTCTGGGTGAACTCTCAAGCGGAGGGGATAAATGGAATCAATCGGCCTTTGTGAGTTCCATCCGCCAAGACCTGTGAACTTTCGGTGGTCAGTAACGAGGTATTGAAATACTAACTAGTCATTTTATAGCAACGAGACCATATACAGCTTCTAAGAGTCTATGTGTCAGAATATCCTTTCGGTCATATGTGGATAGACACTCATTTATATGGGCTTTTAATATCTGTGCTTGTTGAAAGTCAAGCCATCATACATTGGTACCGGAATTGAGCAGGTTTCAGGGATTTTTGAAGCGTTTTGAGGCTCCAATTGTAGTTCTCTCGCCCGTCAAGTCCATTGTCTAATTGACGGATTGACCAGGTTGGTGTAATGTTGCGTCAATGCGTGGACGTTTAAGATACATCTTAGCGATGATGCTGCTAATGCCTCTGTCTCCCTTGGGATGTATGAATCTTTACAAATGCTAAATGTTCCTGAGATCATTTTGTCTTGTTGCCTACATAACTACATGGATGTGATGCCTGAGGCGGCCAGGCACCAACCCCGGAATCCCCCGTCCCTTAACAAAACCATTTAACGGTCAGATATACACACAGTACTCAATTTCTTTCTAAAGGATATTGTCTGGTAGGCTTCTTTGCTACAGGAGACTCATCCAGATTCTTATTCTCAGGACTTTTGGGCGGTCAGGGCATATCGGCTAGAAAGCCGAACACGTCAGCCCGCAACCGGAAATGACACCGGGGAATTTTAGCTTTGCCGACATCAGCCGAACCCACGAGGAATGAGTTTCCCAAGGCCTACATAACGAAAGGGACAGTGTACCCCTGAAACGGCTGTCGTTCGCTTTCTCTAGGTGGAGCGCTTTCGGATCCATTCTACGAGAACAAAATAAGTCGAAAATACGCTGTGCGGAATACCCATTCCCCGTTGTGCCCAGCATTGGCGTCCCCACTACAGGGAGCTTCCTCATACTAAAATTTGGCTATAACCCGATCGGGGTAAGTAGTCCACTTCGCGAAACACGCATATCATGGGAACAAGTGCTCGTCAGCCCAATTGAGCCTGCCCCATTGGTCCTGCCTTCTATGACAGGGAAGACTATCTAGCGCAATTTCTGCAAGACCAATCGATTGTTCGGCAGGGTCTTCACCCCTCGTCAGCATTGAAGAATTCAATGTCCAGATGACTAGATGCATGCGGCCGGGATATTTGCTTCAAATTTTGAGCTTGGATTGCCTTCGTAGTTTGGCAAGAAACCTGTGCTAGTCTATCACGATTTCTGAAATCGGTCTTCTATCCGAGATCCCATGTGATATTTCATACAGTCGCATTTCCAGTTGCCACTTTAGCAATCGGCAGCTTCTTGGCTCGTGTTTTTCGCCCACACAATTGGGGAACAGCCGTCCTACCCGAACCAGGTCTACTGATCAACACCACCGAATACCTAATTTGACAGGGAATGCTAGTCTATACTGTATTTTCAAAACCGGCCTCGCGTCCCGACTCGATTTATCAAGTCAGGGCGTACAATCAGAGATTGTTCTATGGATGTGGAGTCGAATCCACATCAAACTTTGAACACAACTTTTATTTGTCTGAGTCAAACATCCGGCACTCTGTGGGGTTGCGCTTTTCCAACTTTGAACCTCTTACAACTCTTACCTCGCACCTGGCTCTTCATCTTGCGCACCAAATTGTCAATTCTGTTGATACGCCAAGGTCGTCGAGATGTCGGACCAGGTGGCTGCCGATGAAAATGTGCAAAAGGTCATGTCAAGAACAGGTCAGTCGCCCATCTATCTGCCTTGTCGATGCTTTCCATGTTGTGTCTTAGAGTCAAAGATACTGAAACTGTTGTATAGAGCACCTAGTGGCTTCCTCTCATGAGTCACAACACTCCCATGACTCTGAAGATCAACACTCAGAAGTCGACCATGAGCCCATCCAAGAACGGTATGGAAACCCTTCATACTCTAGATTCCGTCGAGTGGCCTCCAAAACGATTGTTTCATTCGGGCCGAATGACCCAGAAAACCCTGTCAACTGGAGAACAGTATGTGTGATGGGGTCTAATAAAAGTAAGGCAAGAAAAGAGTACTGATGTGTCCAACAGAGGAGGAAGTTCCTTGTTCTCGCAGCTGGTGTCCTGCAGGTCATGAACAGTACCATCGGCTCGTCAATTTGTAGCAATGCCATCCCCCAAATTGCCGAAGAGTTCAACATCACCAACGAAACAATCCTCGTCTTGCCCATCTCCATCTTTCTCGTCGGCTACATTTTAGGGCCATTGCTATGGGGTCCTAGCTCCGAGTATTTTGGCCGGAAGCCCCCTTTGCTCATCTCCTTTCTTTTATTCATGATATTCACGCTGGCGTGCGCTGTCGCAGATTCATATGCATCTCTGCTTGTCTTCCGATTATTAAATGGCATGGTCGCGTCAGCGCCTATCGCCACTGTCGGCGGATTGTTTGCCGACGTACAGGACGACCCCACACTGCGAGGTCGTCTGATGGCTTACTTCATGGCTGTAAGTTTGCCGCATAAATTCAACTGGAGTCGTCGGGTCCCACGGCTAATTGGTTAACAGTGTACAACTTTCGGGCCAATCATCGGACCTTGGCTATCTGGCTTTGTGGCAGCTGTCAGCTGGCGTTGGTGCTTTTGGATTGGACTCATTCTGTCAGGCGCTACTTTGCCATTGATTATCTTCATGCCTGAGACCTACGCCCCGGTCATTCTGAAGCGTCGTGCGCACAAGTTACGCAAAGACACTGGCAATTCAAGCATCGTATCGCCATTGGACGTTCAGAGTCGCAATCTGCGAGAGATGCTTCTTATCACGATCTCACGACCCTTCCGCATGATTATTCATGAGTATATCGTTTCTCTGACTTCGTTGTATCTTGCTCTGGCATATGCAATCTTCTACCTCTACTTCGAAGCTTATCCAATCATCTTCCAAGGTCGGTGATATTCCAGCTAGCGTATGCATAACCATGTTGGACGCACACACTAACGAACATATGCAGGTATCTACAAAATGAGCCCCGGTGTGTCTGGCTTGATGTTTCTACCTAGTAAGCTCATCCATGCAGCCCTTTCTTTAAACCCAAAAGGAATATATTCTAAGCCCACACAACAGTCGGAATCGGCGCCGTCCTTGCCTGCGGCATCTTCCTATGGTACGATGGCTACCTAGCCCGAGCGAAGGCCCGAAACGCCAGCTGGGCCTTCATCGAGGAATACCGCAGACTCCCCCTCGCCTGCATCGGCGGGCCGCTATACGTGATCTCCCTCTTCTGGGTAGGCTGGACAGCCTCACCAAACATCCACTGGGTCGTACCCTTCCTCTCCGGCATCCCGTTCGGAATGGGCTACCTGTTAATTTTCATGGCTATGCTGAACTACCTGACCGATGCCTACGAGACCCTCTCCGCCAGTGCGCAGTCCGCCGCAAGCTGCACACGAAGTATTCTAGGTGCTGTGCTCCCTCTTGCGGCTAAGCCGATGTTCAACCGGCTCGGCGTGCCTTGGGCTTGCAGTTTGATCGCCTTCCTCAGTCTGGGCGTCTCTGTCATTCCGTTCGCTTTTATTCGCTACGGTGACCGCATCAGAGCAAATAGCAAGTTCTGCCAGGAGCTCAAGCGCATCAAGGAGGCTGAGCGGTTGGAGTGGGAGAGAGAGGAGCGGCTCGCGAATGGTGATGATACAATCGAGCCTATCCCGTCCCGCAATACTGGGATTTCCATGACGAGGATTGATACCGCTCGAACGGATAAAGCGTCGATTATTTGTTGAAGATGGTCGGCGATTGCGTGGCTGAGGTTGAGTGCTTCTCACGATTTAACTATCGAGTATTGTCTCGATAAAGAAGACCTTAGTCACGCGTGTCGGGACATTCGTTTCCCTTTGCTCTCCCTCTTTCGATTTCATCGGTTGGCGATTCAAAAGTTTTGATTTTCTTTACACGAGGCGAGTGATATTACCATATACCTATTCTCTAATGTTTAAGCAACACAGGACCTCTACTAGCTGCTTCGAACCATGCTCCTATCGAGAGGAGAAAAACGCACAGGTGCCTGCATTTTTATCTACGTTTTGCTTTTCGTTGCCCCGTTTTGACACGTCTTACTATACTTTCTACCAGGGACTAGAGGTTGCATCGGGCGAGCGTCGCTTCATACTCTGATTGATTTTGATATCTTCCATTAGGAAGACCCTAGATAACTTTTAGTCTAGTCTTAACGAACTCATGTTTTTCTCCCTACTCTCGCTTCAATCCAACTTTCCAAACCTTGCTTAATCCTAAAACCACGATGCGACAGGCTGCTATAATAAATGCGAAACAAGAGAGAGAAAGGGCAAAGGCGGCTCCGTGGCATACTATCACAAATTGTGCCCTGTATGACTCCCTTGATGTCTCCCCAGGGTCTAAATCTACGTTGACTAAACTATGCACTGTAGCTTCATGGCTGGGTTGCGGGAATAGGTTCTGTCAAGCCAAATACCCGAGGATCTCAATTGCATCCCTCAGTATGGAGTATATCTAGAGTGAAGAATCCATTATCATCGAATACTTGCTTCCACAGACAAAGAAATATCCCTTGCTCTACATTTCTAAATCGAGCACCCTCTACGGCTGACTGCCTCATAAGACAACCATCTGATCAGTAAAATTGTGGTTTATTCAACAATATTTCTGTGCCACCAAAGTCCCTGTAGAACACACATAGCCCCAATTGGAGATATTATCACCGTCAACATGATGTACTGCCTAGGATTTTCTCGGCTGGAGCGCTACTCATGCAAAAGATTACAGGGTAGACGGGAGACCCACCTTGAAATACACAATCCAACCAGCGAGGACAGCTGCAGGTGATTTAAACGTCTGTGCGAAAGAGACAGGTAACAAAAAAAGAAAAGAAAAAAACGACTTTGCGGACCTGACGGGCGTTTGTCAAGCCCCGAGTGACTTGCATTGGTCTGCACTTTAATTATAATCCAGATCCAGGATGAAGACTTCAAGGATTCAAAGGTTGAAGGACCTAGTC